CTGCGTGTGCCCCGGCAAACCCTTTCCGAATTAGGACTTGTGCAATCGCCTGAAAGTCTGAGCACACGCAGGTTCAGCTCTCATGACTGCATTTCCATGCCTTGCACCGAGAAGTGCTCCTTCCCTGCATTAGGCGCGATAAATTTGGGTGAATGCAGAAAAGGCCCGCTGAAATTTGCAGGGACAGCCTCAAACACAAACACACAAACACAAACATAAACACACACACACACACTTGAATTGACCCTCAATATGATCGACATCATACCGTGGGTTGGTAAGCTAGCTTTCTCTCTCTGCGTTCACATCTCTGCATTCACCTTTGCTTATCACTGATTGGCCACCACGAACCAACAGCTTTGAGGGTGCGATTCTTGTGGTCATCTTTGCAGGTATACACTTGAGCGTCCCCAAGTGCGTCCACTGATTTGCCATAGCTTCGTTGGACAGGATAGGCAAATCATTGTCGCGCACCTCTTGGTCTCAGGGTGGTACACACACAGCTGCCCCTGCGAAGGGGCAACATTTCTCCACATAACAGACGATGTGATATTAAAGGGTCGAGCCACCGATCGCAGCTGTGTTGTGCAGGCTTAGAGCCTCACAGAAGTATTCGACTCAGTAGACACTTCTAGGCCAAGGAATCTCATGCTTCAGAGGCCGAACCCAAGACGACCGTAAAGTGGCATGACAGAAGGTGCGAGGCAGCACCGCACAAGACCATATGTTCGGTCCCACCTACGGCTTTCTACGTGCCACGGTCTTCAGCCCTCCGTTCTAACGTTGTGCCAAGCTCTGGCAGCCCCTCAGGCTCCAAAGGAAAGCCAGCAGCGCTGTACAAGTTGGAAGCTGTCTGAACGAGCCACTGCTGGGGTGTTCGCCAACGCCCTGCAAATGCCACCGAGCAGCGCAACACGTGCACTGTGATGGCGAAGTCTTCGAAGCAAATGTCTCAAATGACCCTACTTCCGTAACTGATCCACTGATGTGCCCAGGACTGTTCTGTGAGCATCCAAGAACATATACGCTTAGAGAAACCCCAATTCCTAAACCCAAACATGCGGAGATGTGTGTGACCCTCAATTAGCCAGGTAAGCACACACACACACACACGCGGGTGACACATCAAAAAAAATGATAAGCATCAACAAAAAATTTACCACGGTAGCCATCAAGAAAACAAATGATAAGCATCTAAAAAATGATAAGAGGGTTTAGGCTTTAGACGGTAGCCATCAAAAAATAATTTGATAGGCATCAAGACAAATTTGCATGGAGGGTTTGGGATTTTTCAAGGTGTTTATCAAATTTGTTTAAGATGCTTCTCAATTTTTTTTAGATGCTCTATGCCCCCACACACACACACACACTCACTCACAGACTCACAGAGACACATGAGCAGGCACACACTCAAGGCACTGGGACGCCGACCTAAGTGCTTGTAGACTTGTTGGCCGGAGACTGCAAAAACCGCCTCGCCGCTCGCTGCCACATATTCCTCGGCGCAGGAAGGGAAAAGGCAGGCGTCTGAGCCTGTCTGTGGAAGGAAGGAACAGCTCGCGCTTGAAAACTGAGGGAAATACTTCAGATGCAAATTATGGGAGGCGCCGCCGATAGACGACGACCTTCTGGGCTCACAGAAGAACCAGAAGGACAAACAAGCAAAGCGACACAGCTTCGCCAGAGCCATCCAGAATCAAGAGTAGGGAAACACAAACAGCAAGAACCTCACAAACGGAAGCACCAAGACCTGAGCTGGAGCCCTCAAACATCCTGTCCCATGGAGCAAGCAGCTGATGGGAAAACAAAATATTCATGAAGATGCTGCCTGCAGTCAAACGGTCCCGGCGCAACTGTCATCCAAAGATGTTGCAAGGTCCTCGCTCTGGATGCCACTGCTCGGAACAAGGCTCCAGTCTCAAAAAGTGCATACAGGTGATTCTGCTCCTGGGCACACGGGGCACGGAGAGCACCATATGGGAGGCCTAGGCTCAAACCCCAATTTCTGCCTAAAGTCTTGGTCCAGAAGAGTCTGAGTCAGCACCACGCTGAGGCTGTCATCCTCTGCTCTGTTCGGTGTCTCAAGCGCCTCCAAGGCAGCTGCAGCCTGCACTTCCCGAGTTTGCAAAAAGCGCGTGCACACCTTTCGTGCATTCCTCGGATCGCGATTTCACGCTTGTTCGAAGCCTGCCTGTGTTGTGGACTGGCCCCAAGACTTCTCCGACTTTATGCAAGCCGAGCGACCCGCGCAAAACATGCACTTCGGCAGTGTTTAAGAGCACGTCACGCAGGCGAGGCAGAAGGTTTGAGGGATTCGAATCCTCGATCAAGACACCATAGGAGCTGAAGCGGATGAAGCCATCAAAGGGTGGCACCCAACTAGCATCTGCCATTGCGACTGGGATGCCACCTGAGCAGACCGCCTCGTTAAAACGGGAATTGCGATAATTGGCTGTTGCAAAGACGAGGATAAACACCGAGTTCCACAACAAGAACTCCGCATCATACTCCGCATTCGCGTCGTCAACTATCACAACGTTGTTGTTGTCATGCAACGCTGCGACTTGTTTTTCCCAGGGTGGTTCCCACCTTCCCTTAAAGCTCACTAAGAAGCGCTTGTGCTCAAGAGGTTCCATGAAGGACATCGACGCAGCCTCTCCCGAACAGCGAGGGGTTGGTTCCGCGGGCATTGAGACGTCAATTCCATATTGAAACGTGCTGCGCCTGGCACCCAACAAAAGCCGGCTGAAAGAAGTGTCCTGTGGAAGGCCCTTATCACCCATGTCCGACAAGACCAGCAGCTTTCCGTCCAGGTGTGCATGTAGCCGCAGCTGCCGATATCCTGGCCACATGATTCTTGATCAATTGGCCGAACCGGAAACAACCTGCGAAAGCAAAACGCTCGACAACATCAAGAGCATTTCTTCAGAAGTTATCCGGTGCAAACCGAACCCGAAGAGAGTCGGTGACCTCCTGGTCCGGAAGAGGCTTTGTGGGTTCAACACAAGCTTTCCGTCCTTCGTAGATCTGACTTGGTGCACACGATCGGCCTGGAAAGGATAGCGGCCGTGTTACATCAGGAAGCACCGAGTAGCCAGGCACCAACACGATGTGGGCATGTTCCAACTGCATGGCCATACAATTGGACGACCTCTTCCGAAGAGAAAGGAAGGCATGATGCAGCGAGCCTGCAAGATTACTCAACAGGCAACCTTGTAGCTTGGGTGCAAAAGCTTCGGTCTCTGTGACGCTCATGATGTAGAACAGAGTCGGCGAGGACGCTGCTGCCAAACACCTGCCCACCTTCAGAGGATGTGCCCAGCTGTCGGAAGCAAGACATGTGCAGAACCCTTGGAAAGAGACCACTGTTGCACGGTGCTGGTGACGTCTTACCATGCAGCCCATGCACGCCCAGGCTGTCAGCTGCTGATGCAGACTGCTTTGACGGCGCAGTGGGGCGAAAGCTTGTTAAAGAAAGTTGCTGTGCCACCGAATCCGCTTGGACCTCCAGAGTCCTCTCCGAGCACGACAGCTTAGACGAACAAAGCACACACATGAGAGAACTGCCGGCCTGAAGCGCGAAATGCAAGCATCCATCGCTCGCTGCCGAAGTTCTAGTCTGGATAAGGCGTCCAGAGCACGTAGCTTCACCATCAGGCTGGGGATCTCATCGTCGCGGAACCGCAGCCCGTAGGATTCAAAGGGCAACAGTTCTTGCAAGGGCGGGACCCACTTGCTTGAAATCAACACCGGAATGCCTCCTGAGCAAACAGCCTCCGCAAAGTGAAAGGTTTGGAGCATGTCTCCCTCAAGAATCAAGCTGAAGATGGAGGAATACAAAAGCTGATCATAATCGTAGCTGTCATCTAGCCGATCCACAATGATCACGTCCAGGTCATTGTGGTGCAGATGCGCTAAAGTTGCACGGACCTGGTTGTGCCGCAGCTTGCCCTTGAACGTGGCAAAGTAGCGCTTTTCGTCCAGTGATTCCCGCATGGCATGCATGGCTGCTTGACCTGCACATCGAGACAGCGGCCCTGGAGGGAGAGAGACGTCAATGCCTGGCCTGTGAAACCAAACTGGGGCTCCAAGACGCAGGATAAAGACCCTGGGGTGGTTGTAGAAACTCAGATCAGGAAGCCAGGCGCTTTGCACACGACCGGAGCCATCCATGATTGCGACGGATTTCCGAGCAAACTCCCGTGCATCAATAAGCCGTCTGTACGCTCTCATGGTCTGCTCATCGTAGCATTCCCTACCGGGTCGAGAGATGGTCCCTTCTGATTCACAGTTGCCTCCATAGTGTGGCCAATGGCAATTGTGAAAAGTGTAACCCGGAATCACGATCACAGATGCTTCTGTCAGGTCGCTTGCACATGGGCTCGAGGCCAAGCCTCGACGTAAAGCCTCCGCATACTCTAGCAATCTGCACCCTGCCAGCTCGGGAGAGTGAGCCTCTGCGCTCTCGGGGCTCAGGACATGAAAGGTGCGCTCACACCGCCAAGCCAGCACCACGTGGGCGGCACAGAATAGCAACCTATGCGTTTGAGCCATGTGGCTCCGAGGGACGTCATTTGAGCACCGCGTTGCCTCTGAAACGCATGCACAGGCACTGCATGTCACGCGGCGTTTTCACGAGAAGAATCGCGAGAAGGAGAAACTCCAGTCCTTTACAAAGGCAGCTACTTGTGTGCTGTGAATTCGCTGTGATATCAGACAGCTGCCAGACACTGCTGGCCAGACTGTCCCATGCTCCGATCCGATTCTCGGAGCCATGCATGCGGCAATGCTGGAATCAAGGACAAGCAAGATACCCCGGAAGAGTATCAACAAGAGTATCGTGAATTCAGAACTCGGGGTCCAGACGGAGTCTCGTGCATCAGCCGCGTCATGCTTGTGACTGTGGGGTTCGGCGAGCAGCTGTCGCTCGCCATCCCCTAAAAGTCCCGGCACTGGGGCCGCTGCACTCTGCTATGCAGTCGATGCAACATCCACGACAGTCATCGAGACGCATGATTCTCCTGAAACTCTCTCGCAGGAGGGCTGTGAGTTGATGCCACTGACATGCTGTCGAGCTGCATCGGAGCCACTCTTGTCCGGGCTCTCCCGGTTGATGCCGAAGGGGTTGAAAAGTCTCTCTCTCCTGAGAAAACACCGCCGTATATTTTGCGACATCGTGTAAGGCATTGGGTGGCAAGACAATGCTTAGATTAGCAATGCTGCAATGTTCGTTGTGTTAAACGCAAAATTCCCACCGCCTGGTCAATTTGCCAACGAAACACACACTGCCCTGAAGCTTTTCAGTGCTGCACCCGACTAAAGCCGCACAGACGAACAGGTCCAGAGCTGTCAAGGCACAGTTCGCGGAGTCCTGGGCCAACCTTGGAAGCAGCGCCTGCCATGTTTGTGACCTCGGTGACCACAGAAAAGGCCCACAGTTCAGCTGCATCGTCTGCAATGAATGATTCCACGTGTGGTTGGCATCTTGGAGGCGGAGTGCCAACCCACCTCCGGGTCCAAAACACTGAGGATTTCTCCTCTTCCTCTTGATGCTCTGAAGACCACGAGCCTAGAAGCCGGCAAAGCACCGACCGGTGCTACGTAGCCCATGGCTCCCGCAAAGCCACCACGACTCTAGTTTGAAAGCCCTGCACCAGTTGAAGTGATTGTGTTTGCTGTTGGCTATGGGCATCCATTCCTTGTAATCGTTTACAACATCTTGATGCACTGCGCTCGGACCCAGCACACGCCACTATGGCCCAAGCTTTTGTCCCCGCCCTTCTGACGCCTTCAAGCCTCGGCCTAGAGAAAATAGGCGAAAAGCCCGGGCTGCACCAGAAAACGGCCTGAGGGCAAAACCCAGGAGGGAAGCTCTCCAACTCCGAGAAGTTGGCAGAGCTCATCGCTGAAGTGGCAGCAATTCTTGTTCAACAAATTGTATTCCTTGGGTGCTGCAAACAAGGTGTATCACGGTGGCTGCAACCTCGTAGTGGTTTCTTGCTGGGACATGTCATGCTCCCCACCGAAAGCCCACGCTACAAAGCCGCTAAGCGTCGCGACCCGGCCAGCGCTTGGCCATCTCGGAAAGAAGCATCTGCACTTCGAAGGGGGACAAGTCTGTGTAGCCCATGTGAATAGCCTCTCAATGTGGCAGAGAGCCTTACATGCCAACTTGTAGATTGTAGCCTGAACTCATCTTCACGGGCACGGTGCCTCTCGGTAGGAGTGCTCTTGGCACTCTCCCGGCTCGTTTTCAAATATTCCAGGACCCCTCACCGTCTGCCCGTAGCTCCACTCCCTGCACTAAGCGGAGGCGCTCGCAAGTTAAATGGCTTTGGGGCTGCTCTGTCTGCAAGGAGGCCGTGGAACCTGCAGGGCACCCGGCCTCCCATGAACTTCCACGGCAGCGTGGAAGGCACCCGTGCCAAAAGGGCGCAACACCTGCGATCCACAGCATGTCTCAAGGCGACGCGGACAAAAAGATGCAAATGCCTCATTAACAACCTGCATGGGCGCAGTGCCAGTGACATCCTTAGCCATGATTTGCTGAACACATTTTGCTGCACAGCCGTGGAGCCCGGTAGATGCTCTCAGCCTGCTACATAAATGTGGACGATGACTGGCGACGGCGCAGCAGGGCAGCAAAGATTGCCCATCTTCAACGAAAAATGAGCAGAAAAGCGAAACTTGACCGCTGCGGCCGATGGCTTTGGGCACGAACGGCTTTCGGCGCAGCGAGATCCGAGCTTCCACACATGCCATGCCGGCACGGGCTCCTACCACACCACAAGAAAGAGCTGAGGAATGCATGCTAATCCTGGCACTCTGCAATCGTCCACAACTTGGCGCCATGCGGAGGTCTGCGACTTCCGTCTCCAAGGCGAGCTTCTCTACTTGCACCGCCTTTGTTTAAGCATCTTAAGAATAAAAAAGCAAAGCATCTTCTCTTCTGCCACCCCAAAAAACAAGGGACCCCTCCCTGCTCTCTTAGCCGCCCTCGCCTCGCAGAGTTGCCGCTTCCGCCGCTCCTTCTCGAGCTCCGTTTCCATGGAGAGGGCCTCTCTGGGAGGAGACATGGGCTGAAACTCTTTAAAGGGCACGGATCTCCATAGGTCGATATGATTCAGCGGTCCTTTTTTTTCGATCGCGTGATGTTCGGGCCGCCTGGAGCATCTAAGATGTACACGACTAAAGCAGCTCAACAGGCAGCCACCACCTTCAACCTAATCATCCTACGCCTGCGAACTGAGGAAACTGACGGGGTTGAACCGACAGTCCGCAGGACTTTCTGGTGTCAGATTTCGACGACAGCCGGTGAAGGACTCCAGGGCAAGAAGGAAACGGAAGAGTGCCCAGTGATCCTGCAGCTGGTTAAGCTCAACTTAGAAGAACAACGATATCGAGATGGACCTACCTTGCCGATTCATTTCCACGAGGATCCTCAGGAGAGTAATGTAGGAACCTGGCGAATCGCAGCTGTGCTCTGTCGCAGGGTCTGCTTTGCCGGGGGACGCATCGGAAAACCACTCCGTACACGTCTTCTTGCTCACATCAGACATGTCAGTGCTGTGCCAAGCAGCCGTAGGCTCACCAACAACAACGCTGTTGCCAGCAGGAGATCGCATGAATTCTGCCAACCTCACTGCCAAGCAATTCTTACAGGAGCTAGCCCAGATGTGCTAGCATGCGGCTCCTTGCCAGTAGCATACCCAAGCCCTTCTACCCCTCAGACCTGGCAATCTCCAGCTTTCTACGCTGACAAGGGATGCATCCTGCCGCCCGGTTACAGACCGCCAGCATTTCCAGGGGCCAGGAAAGATGAGCTTGCCGAAAGCTTGCCCAGCGCCGGTAAGGAGGAAGGCTCTCCGTACTCCTACAAAATGGCAAGTCAAGTGGGTGCTCTCTGCGAAACTGAGACGGAAGCAGGTGTGCTCTTCACCACAAAGTGTCCTCGGTGCCCTGAGATTTTGGAACGAGCTGGACATTGGTCTGCAGAAACTGCTCAAGCGCAGTCCTCAATGCTGGGGGAGATCAGGAGAAATCTCTGCCGACAGACTTCCAGGAAGCATTTGTTTGAGCTTGCAACACTTCACCACTGTCAGAGCTGAGCACGGTCGCTGTTTTGGGAAAAGTTGGATGTGGCGGCTCCTAAAGCGCTGGCTTCTCAAAAAAAATGCAGGACATTCCCTGTTCTGTCCAGTTGCACGCTTTGCTCTCTTGCGATACCTGCAATCAGCTGGCTTGTAAACATCAACACTTGGGACAGGATAGCCGTATGCTTTACAACATGCCTTTCAAGCCAATCTGAATTCCACCACGGTAGATGGCTACCTGACGCACAACCAGGATGCAGGAGAAGTGCTCTCCTGATGGTCACTGATGTGCTGAGAAGCCGGTCGAATCTGAGGTCGAGGCCATTGGGTATGTTGTCACATGCTGTTCGTTGCAGAGAACCTTGTCCACAGCGCAGTCAACCTGGCACCAGGGACGCCAAACAACAGTTCTTGCGACTGAGGTCGCCGAAGAACACTGCTCCATGGTCCGGTCTCTGGCCTGCGCAAATCGCACCCGTAGAACTGAAGGGTCCGTGTTCAGCCTGAGTTCGTCAGATATTGCGCTTTCGAAAGGAGCAATGGTGGCTAAATCAAAAGCAGCAACCTGTAGGTCACCAGATTGTCAAGAAGCTCACTTTGCCAATGTCGTGCCGCTTCTACGAAGGTCTGCTCCAGCTGTTGGCATGGTTGCCACCATCTTGGGCAAAAGGAGACCACCCACTGCCTTAATGCATAAGCTGGCACTCAAGTCTGTCCCCCTACTTCTACCACAAAGCAGCATCAAGCTGCTCCACGCCACCACCCAGTGGCTTCCTCGCGAGTACAGGGTTTGATTCTCTTTGCTCACGTCGTGCTGCATCGGAACCCCGTGTCAGCTAAGTGTGCTGCAGCACATTCCCCGCGAAGATGTGCCGGTTCAGGTAGGCGACGGTCTCCTTCGATGCGGTCCTGATTAGGAGAAGGGAGGCTAGCCAGGCTTCTACCAGGGGATGTTGGCTGCAATCCCATGAAGTCCTGGCCGCTCGAGCTTCTTGTGGCATGGAAGTCAGGACCTGTGGCATCTCCGCGGCAGCTACCTGGCCTAGCCTCAGCTGCCAGGAAGCTCCCACTACTACGTGAGCTTCAGGCTCGTTCAGCCAAAGATGCTGAATCGATGAGGTCAGGAGCAGCAAGCCGCGCACCGCCATCATGCGACAGCACTACGGACTTGGACGAGGTTCAGACTGGAGCTGCGTCATTGGCTGCAACAGTCTCGGGCCCAACATATCGGCCGGCATTGCTCTGCAGTTCACAAACCACTGCGCAGGTTTGACCGCCTGCCAGGGTTTTTAGCTAACGGGCCAGCTTGGAGCCCAGCATTAGCATCGCTGCACCCAGTTTTTCGCACGGCTAGCATTATGACCGTCTCTGGAGCCGGTCAGAGTATTTGGCAGTCTCGCGCATCAACCCCAAGCAATGCGGCTCCTCTCCACAAGCGACATGCCAACAATGCAAGAGACAGCTTTCTTACAGCTTGAATTCAATTGTTCGCATTTGGAACATCAAAGCCACCTCTAACATGAATATTCTAATTACTAAACATGCCAGCTATCGTTGTGTGCTTTCACGTTGCTTGTTTGTCGTGGTGGTCGAGGTATAGTCGTGGTGTTCGTCGTGGTCGTCTTGGTCGTCTTGGTCGAGTCGCAGTGGTGGTGGTCGTGATCGGTGATCGGGGTGGTCGGCGTGGGTGGGCCTCCTCCTACTGCCCAGCGGCCTAGCAGCCTACGCACGAGAGACCCTGCTTCCACGCTGCCCACGTCCTGCCATGGGCAGCCAGCAAAGTGCCGCACGAAGTCGCCTTCCCTCCACTCGTGCGCCGACCAATCCGTGGAGGCCGGAGGAACGTAGGCATTTAGGTGGGCCTTGGGCAAAGAAGCAGTCTCAAGGCAGCTAAGGCAGCTCCTACACTGCATGGTCTCGAGTACTCTTTGTTAAAACGGCCTGGTGGACCAGTGCGACTTCAGGAGGCCATGTGTAGTCTGCTTGCAGCAGGGCCGGCTCCAGTTGCTCAGCCAGCAGCCCAGCTTTCAAGATCTCCCAGAAGAACATGGATTGATCCCAGGCAACTGCAAACTGACTGCTCGCGACTTGCTCCAGAAATGAGAGTGACCACTCACTCCTTCGGAAAAGAAGTGTCCTTCATGCAAGCGGCTTCAAAGCTGCACCACAGCATATTGATCTCATATTTGTTCTTGGCGCTTGCTAGTTTAATGCTGAGCCACGGGGTGTCCACTTTCCGGTCGCTCCTACACCCCCTAGGCACCTGCAGTGGACATCTACCTACAGGCAAAGAAACCCTTGAGGCCTTGCACCCTTCCCCGCCCAGGTCCCTGTGTTGATGCCACCCGGATCTTCTGCCACCAGGAAGTGCGGGCCGGCAGCGCCGCCGGCCCCATACGTCTCCAGAATATCTTGCAAGCTCGTGCGTGCGTCCGTGAAGAAAGCATCGCAGTCGATGAAAAACACCCAATCCGGCGGATCTGGTGCAAGAAACGCCTCAATTTCAGAAGGAAGCGGCGCTGCTCATCAAAAACAGGCTTTAACATGCTTCACGGTCACTTGATGGATCACCAACATTTTGCTATAATGAGCTTCTCGGTCTGGCAGAGGCAGCTCTTCGTGAAGAACGTACTTGTACTCATGGCGTTCCTTGGCCCGAAACGCTCTCAGACTCAAGATTTGCCATGCGTGCTGCCTACTATGTAGTAGCACTGATCTGGGTTGCAGGGGCTCAGAGTAGGCCCTGTGGTTCGGAACGGAGAGCTCGGGCAGAGGGCAGTTGGCGCCTGTCTGCGATGTCGGATCCGGGCCTCAGGAAAGCTGGCTTCTCACGATGTCAAGTTCGTTGAAACTCGGCGTTGACAAGCTGCGATAATTGCAGATAGAGTGGACTTCGAACCGAGGTTTCCGGACATGCGCTGGAAATCTGACCTCAACTACCGCCATGCGGACTCTCCACTCTCCAGCCCAAAGGACATTGAACCGTGCATGGTGCTGCTGTCGTGTGCCGCCATGTGTCGATGGCACGCTGCGGAGTCTTCAGTCCCGCATGGAGCTGTGTCACGGCAATTGTGTACTCCACCTCTTCATAACAAGTCTGCCCTGGCCTCACCAATTCAGCAAATTATGCTGCAAGTAAGAAGCTTGAAGTCGAGGCTCAAACCGCTTCCCACGGCCAGCATCCTCGTAGTCTTTAGGTCTTCTTCGAAGGCTAGCACAGGAACTACAGAGGACCCACGGTGCAGTATTCTTGCTTGAAGCATGCCGTCTTGATAGAGCATCTTTCCGGCATGATCGTACAAGGTGACACAAGAGGCCTCTCTGGAACCGTCAAGCGAATAAACGTCTTCCTATATGCATGATCTGAGTGTGCCTGAGGTCTGTGGTAATCCTCCCCGGTGCCTGGCCACTGGCTTGCATTCACCCGATTCAATTCGCCGGAAGAGGCGGGAAGGGCAAGTCAAGCCCGATCTTGCGGAACAGATCCAAAGGAGGCAAGCGGGAAATATAAGAGCAGGTTTGCTTGACTGAAGAGGCATTGCGGTCGCTCGCGCCTGCTTCCTGCTCATCTCGGGCATCATTTGCCAGGTTGGGCTGTGCAGAAATTTCGCTGCACTGCCATGAATCATAACTAGAGGTGCTGGTACGACTCCCAGTCCCACCGTGTGGCGCTAAACGGTCTCAGAGTTGCGTCTAGTTCTTCTTGCCGAGCATCCAGTCAGCTGCATCCAAACACGTGCAAACACACACAGAAATACAAGACGGAGGTGCGGACAATGGTTGGATGAACGAAGAGCAGCTGCAGAAATGAAAAATACTGTACCGACTAGGACATTGCAGGCGCACTGCTACGAACTGCTCTGAGCCGAGGGTCCCCGGCATCCGGCAGGGTGTTGTACCAGCGAGCCAGGGCCTGGAGAGAAAGGTCGTTTAGGGTTTCGGGTTTCGGATTTCGGGTTTCGGGTTTAGGGTTTCGGGTTTAAGGTTTCGGGTTTAGGCTTTAGGGTTTAGGGTTGGGATACGTCCACACAGCCCTGAGAACGCGTTCCATGCGTCTGCGTCGAAAAAAGGCTGGAGAAAGCCACGTAGACACTTGATCTTCATTGTGCTCCTATGTATGTCTGCATGCCTGGATGCTTAGAAGACACGATCGATAGATGGATAGATATATATATATATAAGTAGATAGATAGATAGATAGATAGATAGATAGATAGAGAGAGAGAGAGAGGTAGGTAGATTCACAGATAGATGGATTCGCATATTCACTTAAAAATACATGCATATATGTATGTATGTATGTATGTATGTCTGTATGCAGATGGCACTATAAGCACATACACGTGCATGCATGTCTGTCTGCATGCATGTGTGTATGTATGTGAGGGTCGAAGTGACGAACTTTCAAAATCTCAAACTCTCGAAGTTGCACAACTTCGGACATCCAGATTGAGCACCGATCGAACTCCGACACGGCTGAAGATGGGAGACTGACAGGCAGCCAGTCGAGCACTCGTGAAACCGTCAAAACATCGAAACGTCCAAGTGTCAACCTCAAAACTTCGAGTGTGGAGCTCGAACACCATCGCTCGGGACACCACTTTTAGGTATACGGTATGCGTGCATGTGTAAGTGCATGCACATGTTACTTATATGCATTTACACTTACACAAACAATTCAAATAATGTAGGTATGTGGATATGTGCGTATTTATACATAGATATATACATAAAGTATACGTGTAATATGTACACACACATATATCTACATACCTGTTACCATGCTATGCCTGCTATGCTGTATCATTGCTCACAGAGTACATGCGGGGCCCAGGCCCGGGGTTGAAGACACGAAGACAATTGGCCGAGCCAAGGCCAGCAAACTACTTCCAGGCCCACCTGGATCTTGAAGATGTTCCCCAGCTGCATCAGACAACGTGCACGGCTAAGATGCCCGTTGGCTAAAGCCTGGGATGGAAGAGACGACACTGGGATTACCCAATGACTGACAGCTCTGACATGCTGGTGCAGGAGCTAGTTCAGCCACCAGCTTGAAATGCTTCGCCGCTTGCACGGGGCAAGTGTATGCGCTGTCCAGGTTCTTCATGAGCATGCCCAAACCCTCCAAGCCAGCCATGAGAGCAATGAGCTTGCTCCCAGGGCCAGGGTTATAGTTGGCCGACCTCAAAACAACCAAGACTTGACACCTGTTCAACCCACACGTGTGCAACAATCACTTCAAGTTTGCGCAGAGTCTTGAATCTTTAACACCGTTTACTCTGACATGATCCGTGTCAAAACCGGAACCTCATGAGCACCGATCGGCCGCCTATGGTGTTGTTGATCAACATGACAGCTTGTCTATCTCTTTCCGGTTCTCTCAGATATCGCAGTTTCCGCCCCGTACGGCAGTTGCAATCGCCTGGACTCTCATGGCCTATCCTCGCAGAGTCCTGCTTCTCTCGACTTCGCGCTCTGGTGATGCCTGCACTTTCCATTCCTTTGCTCTGCTGCTTGCTTGACTAGAACCGCAGAGTCGGTGTTCCCCAATTTCGACTTCTCCCGAAGCCTTTGCCACCGGCACGATCATAAGATTGCCATTCCCTCCGTCCACCCCGTTGACGGGGCTGCTCGTTCAAGTTCTTCTGGTCACGAGCAAGAAAACCCGCCCCCACCCTCTGTGTACAGATATGGGTGTAAACATAAACCAGCATCTCCATCTCCTGTAGCCCATGAAGTTTTCATTGCAGCGGTACGTGTCATAGCTGCTTCCTGCAATCCCCTTGCTATTTCCACTTTGAGGCCCGGACTGTGCCTCGAAGAAGTGCGTCTGAAGTTGTGTCCAGAAGCTCCTTTGATCTGCGTGCTTGCTTCAGAACGACACACGATGAGCAACGCAGGAGAACAGCCCTCGAGGTCGCAGGTGCTTTGCACACCCAGCTTCAGAAACACAAGAGGTCGGCATCGGAATGGCGAGTCAGAAGTCTCATGATTTGCGCACCAAACATTCCATCAGCATCGCACTCTAGAGCATCTTCAGCTTTATACGGCATGTGCGGTATACGCACCTGCATCACACGTTCGAGTAAAGAGGTTCGCTGCTGCACAAGGACGTCTATCCCAACAGTTTGAGGTCGTCCATCTTCTCCGGTGGTGGGCATCTCTATTTTTGGTTCCATCATGGCAAGCCGAAGCATAGCCGCACATCTGACGTGTGCATTGGGCGTCTGAGCGCAGTGTAAGTAATGGAAGGCGCTGACGGCCCGGGCGGCCAATTCTTTCGCGTTGACACAAACCGGGAACAGGACATCTCAACCGTCTCAACCAGAAACGGCGTGGAAAAGCCTGGTTGGATGTCTCTACCTGGTCAAACCTGGTCCAGAAAGACACAACCGAAGGCAGAGGCAGCGGCAACAATGTCTCACCATCTCGCTACCACGTCTGGCAACCAAGCCGATCATCCTAGAACGGTGAAGCATGGTAAATTAGGTATTTCCTCGAGGTCGCCCAGAACATCAATTTGTTTGCGCCGAGCAGCAACGGGGCAGGTGCCAGTTCTGGGCATTCTTCCTGCACGATCTGCTGCGCCACAACATGGAACGGACCTCAGGAAAAACCAAGCCAGCAGCAAACTTTCTGAGCTCCTTGCAGAACAACAAATGACCGCATCTTCTGCCCAGGCACTTTGAACCTCATCGGTGCTGCTTTGGCCTCGCCAAGTCTACCAAACCGAATCCCCTGCATGCAATGAGTTCTCCCACACATCCACCTGCTATGCAAGGCAACCACACCGCGAAGCACAAAGGCAGCCATGGGCGCCGGAAGCGCATTGCCACAAAAGCATGCCGCTCTACAGACCCTGATGCAGAGCAGCCGTGACTTCTGGGCTTGTCCGGCAGATCAAATCCATCGGGTTAGGTCGAAGCACGATTAGCAAAGGCCGAGGGCTGCGAGGCTGCTGTCTGAAGGCTCTTGCATAAGTTGATCTGCAACCGGCATGACGAATCCATGATGTCTCTGGCGACCAGCTCGGTCGCATTGAGCAAAAGAGGGATTCGATTCAGAAACAAGGATGCCCTCTGCGCAAACAGTTCAAGGCTCCGGCCAGCTCCCGCTTCGTCTCCAGCTCCTGCCTCGAACCACAACACAAAGGGAAATCCGTGGGATGTGCTTGAAAACACATGGGAGGCCAAACGTGGCAGTCTGGCTCGAGGGCCGTCATCTGCTTCTGGGCTCGCAGGCCAACCTCAGCCTCCAGAAATCTGCAGAGCCAGGGCTGACAGGCGCTGAAAGCCCACTTGTGCTCAGAAGCTTCGAAGCTTCCCATGAGCCTCGCCTCTCGTGCCAAGCTCTCACATTCCTCACGAGCTTGGTGTACCTCGGCCTGGGAGATCACAAGGATGTACAAGGATGTACAAGGATAGAGCCGGCACGACAGCAGGTCCGACAGCTGCATCAAGAATCCAAGACTTTGTCGGGGGTGAGCACAGTGTGCGGGCGCTTGGAAATGCTGAAAACGATTCTCCGGGTTGGAAAATGGCCTCCGCACCAACATGTTTGTACATGAGTAGGGATCAGAGTTGAAAGATTTCAAACGTACATATTCACTCATATATTATGTAATTTATACATGCACACACACACACAACCACATCGACTTTTGAGTAAACACCTCCCCATTCGAGCCCTTCCAAGCCCCTCACAATTTCTTACAAGCCTGAGGCCCTTAGGCCTTAGGCCTTGCCTCAACAAGGCTGAATCCTTACTCCCGGTATGGCCTAACCAGGGATATGCATGATCGCAGGCCCTCCAAATCCTTCAAACATAAGATCGCAGAACCGACTGTGGAGTTGGAAGCCTCTGATTGAGGGAACTGAAAGCCGGCCGTTTCAGTGCAACCGATTGTGTGCTTGTCCTGGTCAACAACCCTGCCACCGACTGCACAGACAACCCCAGGCAACTTCCGTTCCTAAGGGTGCTAAATCTAAGGGCAAAGGTGTCTGGATGCAGGGAGGGAAGGTAAGTCTTAAGCTAGTCCTTGGCGCCTGGAAACAAGAAAGCGGACATGACAAACTGTGCCGTGTCATCGGGGCGAACCTGCAGAAAGGACCTGGCCTGGTGCATCTCGCACTGGCTCCGCAGGTCTTCTATCTGCGGTGTGGACGAGGACGGGAGGGTTGCAACACGTACAAATTCTCGAGTTTTGCGGCCTGGCTCTATGCTGATACCGGCACCCGGCGCCCCGCCCGAGCCTTGCCCTCCTGGACTTGCAGCCTTCGCGCAGCCTCCGTGGATGCTTGAGACACCTGGGCCTCGGTGACTCAGACAACAGGCCACAGTGCCACAGTAGAACAGAAGCAAAAAGCAAAAGAAAAACGTCTTGGTCCGTGACGAGTTCCTCCTCCAGCTCGTGACTGCGCACCCGCAGCTGGTCCGAATCAGCCTCTCGTCGCGACATGCAAAAGCTAGGATGTGATCAATGTTGCCAGCATTCCCTCATCCCGTTCCTCCAGTTCGGTGTTGCGTGCTTGCACTCGGGTGAGTTGTACCTGCCCGCCGGTGTCGTTGCTCTCCCTCCGAAACCCCGAAGTTTCCAAAGCTGGCGGCACTTTGTCTGCAGTCATTTCGGCTTTGAGGCTTGCGACTTCGGCTTGTGCTGCCACCTGGCGACATGCCGAACGGGGTCATGCCACAGGGCTCAGAGCTAGAATCGAGTTGCCTTCGTTCCAGCCAGAAGCTAGAGCTAGAGAGGTTCCCTTAATTGGGAGCTCGTGCTGCGCACAGCTACACCATGCATGATTGACTAAAGGTCTAAGGAGTTTAAGGCACCAAACTAAACGACAACAGGTCTCTCCCGAGGAAGATACACCCCAGCACGAACACCAGGCGCATCAGACAGTCTCCGTTCATTTCCGTCCTGAGTGCACGGCCCTGGCACACGGGGTGAGCCACTGTCGTAATGAATGTGCTGAACGGAGATATTGCACATCATTGAACAAGGGCGGCAAACGGAGAACTACCACCCCTCCGCACTCATGCTGCCGGAGCATGTGGCTTTCAGACCCTACAGTACACATAAACATTACCGAAAAGATGACTGGCTGCACGAGCACGGACAGGCACCAGTCCATTGGGCCACTCGTCAACACATGAATCGGGGACAGAAACAGGCCGAAGGCACAAACTGTCTCTCTGCCTCTTTCACAGAAACCTCAGTATGGACGAAACATTGCGAATCCGGACTAGGTTTTCACAGCTGCTCGGTGCAGGAACGCATACTCTGACACTCAAGTCTGCCCGAGATGTGCTCACTCATCTGGCCATTCTCCCGGCGAAGCATGTCACTGACCTGCCGCCCGGCCATGCGGCACCACATGATGCTTCAATGCTTTCCCACGCCCTGTCTCGGCATCATACCAAAAGCATCCTGTCGGCTTCACTCCCCCGTCACCAACGGAATTTTGTCCCGCAATGCCATCTTTGCCCCTCGTCCTGACTTTCGAGTCGGTGCCTTAAATGCTGTGCACTCTGTGCCGGAGCAGGCCACTACTCCGCAGCCTGTGTCGGAAGGCACGTGGTGGTCGCATATATACAGAAGTAAAGCTAATCAGATAGTGCAATCGCTGGCCTCTCTCCGGGGTTTGTGGAAGAAGCTGGTGCCATGCTTGACTGCATAGGGCTTCCGGTACTTGCCACTTCCGAGACGGCGGCTCCTTTTGCAAACAGGAGAGAGAGCCCTAAATTGGCCATGAATTAGTGCAGGGTCACTGTCATCTCAAGTCAATGAAAAAGTCATGTGCAAAATGGATCCGGGAAACGCATCATGTGAGTTTGGGGGGACTGAGCTTCAAGTCGTGGCTGGCCCCCAATCTACGTGTTATTCTGGTTTTACACTTTCCAATCGCTCAAGACGACCACTGCCTTCTTGGATGATAAAACAGCGGATGCACGAGGCAGCACACTAACATTCAGCAAATCCCACAAGTGCTGCTGCTGCTGTAGTGGGCATCCAGCTCAAAGCGTTGAGATCAAATCCTTCGTGACAAGTTTTGCAACGATCAAGACCTGATCACATCGAATCTAGGAGTCGAATCTAGGAAGTAAATGCTGCGCGCTCCCACACTGATTACGGCGTCAGAATGCGTCCCTCACTCGGACCGAAACTAGTGCAGCACAGATGTAATGATTCACATCGCTCGGTTGGATTCCTCATGCGCCCATCGGGCCGCATCCAAACTCCAAGCTTCTTCAGAGCAGCTCAGGGCGCACTGCCGCAAAAATCATCAGCAAAGCCACGACCAGGATGCTCACCAAGAAAAGCTTCTTCATCGGATTCCACGCAGCATCTGCTTTCTCTGCCTCGATCTTAGCAGCTTCACTGCTTTTTTCCGACTTAGCGGGCTGGCGCTTGCGAGCGCTGCTCCGATCCTCTCCCTCGGGTTTCTTCGCCTTCGCCTTGCCTTGGCGCTTCGTTCCTCCGAGACCCGTCGAGCTCGGGCCTGGCGAAGCCAGAGAAGCTTTACCTTTGCATTTGGACTTGCGGCTGCCCTTCTTTGGACTTGCGGCCACCTTGCCAAGCGGCTTCTTCTGGCCGAGCCCCACATCTTTCCGGGATTCCACGTGTGCTCTGGAACCCGAGGCTTCCTCTGCAGGAATTGTGGCCTCTTGGTCACCCTGAAGTGCAATGGATGCCGCAGTGGCCGGAAGTGGAGGACCTGATTCCTCCGCTTCCTCCGCGCAGCCATGGGTGCCTGACAGACCTGCCATGTCCTGGCTAGGCTCATCCATCACTTGTTGCTTGCTGCTGCCTGACATGCATACCGCATCCTGATGTGGCCCGTCCAGCTCTTGTCCCCTACTCTTAACGAGCTCAAGGGACTCCGTGCCGAAGATGCCGGACACACCTGCTGCATCCCAACTTGACATGTCCAGCTCTTGTTGCTTGATCTTGTCCTGCTTGCAATCATCCAAGCTAGACATGTCTGACCTGCCTATCTTGTCCAGCTCTAGCTTGCTTTGGCCTTCCTCGCCGGCATCGAAACAAGTGATGAGTGATGTGCCTGCAGAGTGCTGGCTTGGGCTGTCCAGCGCATGCTGTTCTCCCTCATCGCACCCTCGAGCGAAATCCAACATGCCTGCTGTGCACTGGCTTGGCCTTTCTGGCTCTTGCAGCTTGCTCTCGTCTTGCTCACTGGCATCTGGGAGAGTGATGTCGGAGGTGGTGTCCCCCATCTGCCGGAGCTGCTCGAACTGCTCCGGCTTCAAGTTGTCCAAGCGAGGGATGCCAGAGGAGTCTGCAGCGAGCTGAGGCCGATGCTGGCAGGAAAGGATCTCTTGCAGCTGGCTACTAGTAGCTTCACCGGTTCCTCCAAGATCGTCTTCAGCGCTCGCCTTGCTACCATGCTGGTGGTGTCCGGTGCCTCTCTTGCACTTCCTTCTCCCTCCTTTCGCCTTAGCTTGCGTCGCTTGCAAGCGCAGCGCTTCCCTGCTTGCGCCCGTAGCCTCAGCTTCCTTCAGCTCGGGTGGCTGCTCATGCTTCCTTCGGCCTTCGTCAGTCGGCACATCCTTCGAATCCTGGAGTTCCTGATGCAACCTGCTGCACTCATGCTGCAGGCGGTCAACCTGGTCCTTGACTTCCAGGCATTCTGCCTTCAAGCGATCTCGCTGCTCTGCCTTCTCGTTGATCTCCTGCGAATCAAACTATGCTTTCATGATTCGGCCTTTATCATACAATTAGCATCTGAGAATGGACCGCTGCTCCTCGCGCAGACACTCCTGCAAATTCAAGTCAGCGGCAAGAGAGAAGAATCGCAGAACCACGACATGATGAGAAGTTCGGTATTTACATAGCGTCCTTCTTTAGTCCGATGCGCAGCTTCACATGATTGTAGTAGTCGCGGGCTGACTGCAAGTCCATGCTGGCCTGAAGCACCGGCAAAACTCCACGCGCTTTCGCCTGAATGCGAGTTGCCACAACTGGAGACTGAGCCGAGCTAAGCCAAAAGCTGCATCCAGTTTCTGTGTCAACTCTGTGACTGTGCCGAGCATCTCATCAACCCCTTCAGGCAGGTGGAAGTTGTATGACCTCGCACAGAGGGGTAGGGTAGCATTCATCGCGCGCGAGACTGTCACCGACTCTTTGCGGCCAAGGCACCCATGCTTCATTTGCTTCAGCTGATCATGCAACGTCTCGCGTTCGGCATCGGCCTCTCTGATGAGATCCTTCAACTCTTGTGCCTCCTGGAAGGCCGCCTCGTTTGAGACACAGCTTACGTTCGAAAAAAGCAGATTGCGGCGAGAACTGCCTCGAGCTTCTGCTGAGCCTCGAAGGCATCGCCCGCCGTGCCCATGGCGCCATTTTGGCGGCTCCGTTCTGCCGGTGCGGAAGAAGCACGGCACCGAGCCGAGCCCACCTGCTCAGAGCTCTCAAAAAGGTCTGCTAAGCAACGGAAACATCCGGAAACCCCAGCCTCACCATCGCTCTCACAGCACTCGATGAACGTGTTGCGGACGTAGAAGCTGTGAGGACAGGCCGCACCTTCGGCTGCACTCTTGTCACTAAGCGAGTTTCTTTGCTCAGCCAGGCACCCTCGGAGTCTGTAGCAGACGTAGTCGAAGAGTCGAGGAGGTCATCTGCCTGGGCCTCAGTCCGACAAGCCCAGAGCCCTGCAGAGCCCAGCCACGTCACCATTGCTTAACGAAATCCACTGTGCACCGCACAGTCTTGCGTGCCGTCGGGCTCGCATAAATCATCAGTACCATGGCTTCGCACAGAAGGGACACCTCAAGGGCCAGCTACGGGAGATCAACCTGCGAAAGGCCGGGAAGGTTAGGCCAAACGGCTGCAGAAGACCCTCGTCTTAGCGCTGCTTAAGGTTAAAGGCACGACAGTCTTATACAGTCTGATGTGGGAAGCATGCACCGACTGTATCGAAGCTTCTCCGGCTGGGAGATTGTCAAGCAAGGCCTCTCGTTCCTTGGCGAGTTCGATGAACTTCTTGTTCAGCTGCTCATGCGTGTCGGCCTCGTGTGAGACACGTCCGTATACCCTCCACTAGATGCTTCCTGCTGCTCCCGCCTAGTTCAGTCTCAAGTCTTAGAAAGTCTTAGAGTCGTAGAGTTTGCTAGGGACCGGGCAAGCTCTCGAACTTTGTCCTGCACCTGCGAAGTCGACGACGCGGCGAAGACGGCACGCAGAATCTCAGCAGAGCTGGAGGCCTGGCCTGGACTCTGGTCTCAACCAGCCTTCCAGCAGAAACAGCGATTTGCGCGGTCTTCTCTGCCCAGTCTTCTCAACAAGCAGCATGTGAGTCACATATGTGCAGTATCGGAGTGCTTCTTCATGGCTCACCGCTGTAGCCGTCCAACTTCGTGCAAATCGGCTGCTCCGTTTAGGAGGCCTTCACGACTCTCATCGCCGGTTTGGCTGCGAGAGTCGTTGAAATAAGGAATTATGCGTGGCCGAATCATCACACTCCTGCGGCCAGGGGCATGCACACGTGCCGAGCAAGCTGGGCCACGCAACACGTCGTCCTCCAGAAGCGCCTCTGTCTGAGACCGCTGGGGCAGCATGACAGGTACAAGCAGCAGAAGCAGCAGCGGCAGAAAAGCGGCAACACACCTGCCAGTAGAATCTCGAGGGTTGCGTGAACACCAAGGGCTGGATGTCTGTCGTCGATTTTGCAGCCCAAACACTGCACTTTCCAGAGGCTTTGGAACTGCCGCCCCTCTTGCAATGATCCTGCACCGGCACCGGCATGCAGCTCCCAATGTGGGCCCCGCATCTCTCAACTTCACGGCAGCTGTGCGATTTCAAATGTTCGTCCTGTAGGCGAGACCCCGCTGAATGTGAGAAGGTAGCCACCGATGTAGGAGCCTGAAACAGGTCCGCAGCTGTTAGGTGCTGTTCGCAAAGCCTGCATATCTTAATGCGGCCAAGATGGGGGGTGCAGACAGGTCGCTCAAGATGGAGGCCATGTTGAAGGTGCCCGCATGTAGGCCCAAGGTTGTCGCTTCGACACCCCTTGGGGCCAAATGAGCAGCCAGCACCTGTGTTTTCACTTGTGCGCCCTTTGCTTAAGTCAAGGCTTTCTTTTCCGCCTGTTTCGGGATCCAGCGCCATGCTTGCACCATGCCTGTCAAAGATTCGCACCCAGAGCAGGACAGCCCCGTGCATCCCATACCCTCGCTTTATTCGTCCCAGCAGCTGTCGAGGCCCATAACCACCAGCAGCCAAAGACTGTCTGGAATTCCAAAAGCCAGCGTCCAACGGCAAAGCACTGGCAACATGGCCAGCTGAATGCATGCCTGGGACCAGCGATCCGTACACAAAGACATTTGCCACACACACGCACGCACGCACGCA